CTGTTGTTCACCCGCTGTTCAGCTACTGTTCACCTACTGTTCAGCTGCTGTTCACCTGTTGTTCACCTGTTGTTCAGCTGCTGTTCACCTGCTGTTCAGCTGCTGTTCAGCTGTTGTTCAGCTGCTGTTCACCTGCTGTTCCGCTATTGTTCAGCTGTTGTTCACCTGCTGTTCACCTGCTGTTCAGCTGTTGTTCAGCTGCTGTTCACCTGTTGTTTAGCTGTTGTTCACCTGTTGTTTAGCTATTGTTCACCTGTTGTTCAGCTGCTGTTCATCTGCTGTTCAGCTGCTGTTCAACTGTTGTTCAGCTGTTGTTCACCTGTTGTTCAGCTGCTTTTCAGCAGTTGTTCACTTGCTGTTCAGCTGTTGTTCAGCTGCTGTTCAGCTGTTGTTTAGCTGCTGTTCAGCTGTTGTTTAGCTGCTTTTCAGCTGTTGTTCACCTGCTGTTCAGCTTTTTTTCACATGTTGTTCAGCTGCTGTTCAGCTGTTGTTCATCTGTTGTTCAGCTATTGTTCAGCAGGTCGGCAGCTGTTCATCTGTTGTTCAGCTGCTGTTCACCTGCTGTTCAGATGTTGTTCAGCTGCTGTTCTCCTTTTGTTCAGCTGCTGTTCAGCTGCTGTTCAGCTGTTGTTCAGCGGTTGTTCAACTGATTTTCAGCTATATTTCACCTGTAGTTCAGCTGCTGGTCACCTGCTGTTCAGCTGTTGTTCAGCTGTTGTTCACCAGCTGTTCAGCTGTTGTTCACCTGCTGTTTAGTTGTTGTTCAGCTGTTGTTCAGCTGCTGTTCAGCTGTTGTTCACCTGTCGATCAGCTGTTGTTCATCTGTTGTTCAGTTGTTCACCTGTTGTTCAGCTGTTCAGCTGCTTTTCACCTGTTGTTCACCTGTTGTTCAGCTGTTGTTCACCTGTTGTTCACCTGCTGTTCAGCTGTTGTTCAGCTTTTGTTCAGCTTTGGTTCACCCGCTGTTCAGCTACTGTTCACCTACTGTTCAGCTGTTGTTCAGCTGTTGTTCAGCTTTTGTTCACCTGTTGTTCAGTTGTACATCTGTTATTCACCTGCTGTTCAGCTACTGTTCAGCTACTGTTCAGCTGTTGTTCACCTGCTGTTCAGCTGCTGTTCAGCTGTTGTTCACCTGCTGTTCAGCTGTTGTTCAGCTGCTGTTCAGCTGTTGTTCAGCTGCTGTTCACCTGCTGTTCAGCTGTTGTTCAGCTGCTGTTCTCCTTTTGTTCAGCTGCTGTTCAGCTGCTGTTCAGCTGTATTTCACCTGTAGTTCAGCTGCTGGTCACCTGCTGTTCAGCTGTTGTTCAGCTGTTGTTCACCAGCTGTTCAGCTGTTGTTCACCAGCTGTTTAGTTGTTGTTCACTTGCTGTTCAGCTGTTGTTCAGCTGTTGTTCACCTGCTGTTCAGCTGTTGTTCAGCTGTTGTTCAGCTTTTGTTCAGCTGCTGTTCAGCTGTATTTCACCTGTAGTTCAGCTGCTGGTCACCTGCTGTTCAGCTGTTGTTCAGCTGTTGTTCACCAGCTGTTCAGCTGTTGTTCACCTGCTGTTTAGTTGTTGTTCACCTGCTGTTCAGCTGTTGTTCAGCTGTTGTTCACCTGCTGTTCAGCTGTTGTTCAGCTGTTGTTCAGCTTTTGTTCAGCTGTTGTTCACCCGCTGTTCAGCTACTGTTCACCTACTGTTCAGCTGTTGTTCAGCTGTTGTTCAGCTTTTGTTCACCTGTTGTTCAGCTGTACATCTGTTATTCACCTGCTGTTCAGCTACTGTTCACCTACTGTTCAGCTGTTGTTCAGCTGCTGTTCAGCTGTTTTTCACCTGTTGTTCAGCTACTGGTCACCTGCTGTTCAGCTGTTGTTCAGCTGTTGTTCAGCTGCTTTTCAGCTGTTGTTCAGCTGCTGTTCACCTGCTGTTCAGCTGTTGTTCAGCTGCTGTTCAGCTGCTGTTCATCTGTTGTTCAGCTGTTGTTCAGCTGCTGTTCAGCTGTATTTCGTCTGTTGTTCAACTGCTGGTCACCTGCTGTTCAGCTGTTGTTCAGCTGTTGTTCACCTGCTGTTCAGTTGTTGTTCACCTTCTGTTCAGCTGTTGTTCAGCTGCTGTTCAGCTGTATTTCACCTGTTGTTCAGCTGCTGTTCAGCTGTATTTCACCTGTTGTTCAACTGCTGGTCACCTGCTGTTCAGCTGTTGTTCACCTGCTGTTCAGCTGTTGTTCACCTGTTGTTCAGCTGCTGTTCAGCTGTTGTTCACCTGTTGTTCATCTGTTGTTCATCTGTTCACCTGTTGTTCAGCTGCTGTTCTGCAGATGTTCAGCTCCTGTTCAGCAATTGTTCAGCTGCTGTTCAGCTGTTGTTCACCTGCTGTTCAGCTCTTGTTCAGCTGTTGTTCAGCTGCTGTTCACCTGTTGTTCAGCTGCTGTTCAGCTGTATTTCACCTGTTGTTCAACTACTGGTCACCTGTTGTTCAGCTGTTGTTCACCTGCTGTTCAGCTCTTGTTCAGCTGCTGTTCAGCTGTATTTCACCTGTTGTTCAACTGATGGTCACCTTTTGTTCAGCTGCTGTTCAGCTGTTGTTCACCTGTTGTTCATCTGTTCACCTGTTGTTCAGCTGCTGTTCACCTGTTGTTCAGCTGCTGTTCTGCAGTTGTTCAGCTCCTGTTCAGCAATTGTTCAGCTGTTGTTCAGCTGCTGTTCAGCTGTTGTTCAGCTGCTCAGCTGTTGTTCAGCTGCTGTTCACCTGTTGTTCAGCTGTTGTTCACCTGCTGTTCAGCTGTTGTTCGGCTGTTGTTCACCTGCTGTTCAGCTGTTTTTCAGCTGTTGTTCAGCTATTGTTCAGCTGTTGTTCAGCTCTTGTTCAGCTGTTCAACTGTTGTTCAGTTGCTGTTCAGCTGTTGTTTAGCTGTTGTTCAGCTGCTGTTAAGCTGTTGTTCAGTTGCTGTTCAGCTGTTGTTTAGCTGTTGTTCAGCTGCTGTTCAGCAGATTTTCAGCTGTTGTTCAGCTGTTCAGCTGTTGTTCACCTGCTGTTCAGCTGTTGTTCAGCTGGTGTTCACCTTCTGTTCAGCTTTTGTTCAGCTGCTGTTCATCTGCTGTTCTGCTGTTTTTCACCTGTTGTTCAGCTGTTGTTCAGCTGTTGGTAAGCTGATGGTCAGCTGCTGTTCATCTGCTGTTCAGCTGTTGTTCATCTGCTGTTCAGCTGTTGTCCTGCTGTTGTTCAGCTGTTGTCCTGCGTTCAGCTGTTGTTCAACTGTTGTTCAACTGTTGTCCTGCTGTTGTTCATCTGTTGTCCTGATGTAGGTCAGCTCTTGTTCAGCTGGGGTTAAACTGTTTTCCTGCTGTTGTTTAGCTGTTGTCCTGCTGTTTTCCTGCCTTTGTCCAGCTGTTGGTCTGCTGTTGTCCTGCTGGTGTCCTGCTGATGTCCTGCTTTTGTGCAGCTGTTATTCGGCTGTTTTTCAATTGTTGTTCAGCTGTTGTAGCTGTTGTCCTGCTATTGTTCATCAGTTGTCCTGCGTTCAGCTTTTGTTCAACTGTTGTCCTGCTGTTGTTCAACTGTTGTCCTGTTGTCGGTTCAGCTGTTGTTCGGCTGCTGTTCAGCTGTTGTTTAGCTCTTGTTCTGCTGATGTTCAGGTGTTGTCTTGCTATTGTTCAACTGTTGTCCTGCTGTTGTTCAGCTGTTGCCCTGCTGTGTTTTGGCTCTTGTCCTGCTGTTGTTCAACTGTTGTCCTGATGTTGGTCAGCTGGTGTTCGACTTTTGTCATGCTGTTGTTTAGTTGCTATTCATCTGTTGTTCAGCTGTTGTCCTGCTGGTGTCCTGCTGATGTCCTGCTTTTGTCCAGCTGTTGTTCAGCTGTTGTCCAGATGTTGTTCTGCTATTGTTCTGCTGTTGTTCAGCTGTTTTCCAACTGTTGTTCAGCTGTTGTTCAACTGCTGTTCCGCTGTTGTCCTGCGGTTGTTCAGCCAATGTTCAGCTTTTGTTCAGGTGTTGTTCAAATGTTGTCTTGGTGTTGTTCAGCTATTGTCCTGCTGTTGTTCAACTGTTGTTCAGCTGTTGTTCAACTATTGTTCTGTTGTTGTTCATCTGTTGTCTTGCTGTTGTTCAGATGTTGTTCGGTTTTCAACCATTGTTCTTTTGTTG